GCCCGGCAGGAGGTGGAAAAGGTGGCGGCTGGGAACAGCAGCAGGGAAAAGAAGCTCTTCGAAGGGTCCTGCCTCAGGGGAGTCGCGCAGCTCTTCACGTAGCCGTTCCGCAGGCTCTCCAGACTGCGTCCGCCGCCGGGCAGCGCCAGGGGGGCAGCCGCCCCGCCGCCGTCCAGCTGCTGGCAGTGCTGCGGGGGTCGGCTGGGTCCGTGGTGGGAGGCGGCCGCGGGGGCTGCGACTTCTCCCTCTTCCCTCATGATGGCTGGGAACGGGGATGAGGCGCGGGTCGCGCTAGCTCCGGCCCAGCCGCGCCTCCCTCATCTCCTCAGGAGGAAAGCGCCGGGCTGAGCCTCCGCTTCTCCTGCGCGGGCAGCGGCGTCCGCAGCATGGTGGGCGAAGACGGGAAAAGAGAGAAAAGGTAAAAGTCTCGCCCGCTCGTCCGCGTTCCCCGAGCGGATCCAGCGGCGGGACTCGCTGTCGCCTCCCAGCGTCCACCGACGGCGGCGGAGCCCCGGTGGGGGTGGGAGAGAGGCGGCGAACAACTCCCCCACCTCCCGCCTTCTTTTCTTCTCTTCCTCGCTCCCTCCCGCCGCTGCACACGGCGCGCGCAGAAGCCCTTGAGGCGGCACGCGCCCGGGGGCGGTTGCGCTAACGGCCGCGGGGGAGCGGGGGCGTGGAGGCGCGCGGGGGGGGCGGAGGCGCGCGGGGGCGTGGAGGCGCGCGGGGGGCGGAGGCGCGCGGGGGCGTGGAGGCGCGCTCGCGCTCCACGCCCGGCTCTCAGGCGCCGGCTCCTTCCCGCCGTCCCGTGCCCGACGGCTGCCGGCCCTGAGGCGACCGGCGGCGGCGCGCCCGGGTGCGCTTCTGTCCCCAGAGAGATGTTAGGAACATGCGCCCCTGTCCTCCGCCGCGGGCAGCGCGCCGGGAGCTGCCAGCCTTCCGCTGCGGGGAGGGGTGGCTGGACGAGAGCTGTGGAGACAGGGACGCCTGACGGGCTGGTGTAACTTTGCGCTTCATCTTGGTTTTCTGCTTTGAGGTGCCACGGGACTGTTGTTAGCGCACACAGTGTGTGGAAGTATCTTCCCTCTTTGTTTTGTTTTGTTGTTTTTTTTTTTTTTGGACTTGACAAGTAAGTATTCAGTAGAGTAATTCTCTACACTTGGGGTTTATTTCAGTCTTTGTTAGCTAATTTACAGGTTAAGCCGCGTTGCTCAACAGGTTTGATTTTTTGCACAACTAATCCCTTTGGAATGGAGCAAAATATTAATTTAGGACCTTTTTAGACTGCTGCGAGTGAAAATCGGCAGCTAACGGGATTTTGAGTCATTCCTTTCCTCGTTTATCCCGTTAGTTTGCTTCTCGAAGAGTGACTGCTGAGCACTTTTAAAACTGTGTATCTTTACCTCATTACTTAAAGTAAGTGTCCTTTGAGCCATGTTTCTACATAATATTGTAAAGCTTAAATTGATTTAGAAATGAGATCGGGTAAGTTGGTGATGGAGGTTTTGGCTTGCTTATTGAAACAAGGATTTCTTGAAATGTACTCGGTGCCATTGCTCGTGATTTGCTACATTTGAATAGCACTCCAGCAGCGGTTGCTTTGGGGAAGCTGTAGTGCAGCAGGAAGTGCTGCTGCTGAAGGCTACGGGCCTAAAAGTTGACAATATGCACAAACCTTCTAACGTGATTACTTACAGCAAACACAATATGCCGTGACAGACAAAGTTACTCTGTGTAACTTCCATAAGAAGATGGAAGTAAGTATTAGATTTTTTTTTTTTTCCTCCTGACAGATCAGATTGATGGAATTTTAATACTGCAATACACCTTCCTCTGTTAGAAATACCCCTCCCTACGCACTTTCCCAAAAAATGAATTCTGTCCTGAATTGGTACACGTAGTACCAACATGATAGTACAGAACCCATGTAAAAAAGTTTTCAAAAGGGAGAATGTGCAGTTTCTCCGGGGATTATATTCTTACATTTAGTCCTTTTCATATGTTAATGATATCAATTGGACCACAATCAAGTATATATGCAAATGTTTCTAAGACTCAAATGTATCTTGTTAGTATTTATATACTTTATTTGTTGATTCCTTTGAACTTGGCTATAAGTAAATACATTCCTGAAACAATTAGATAGTGTAGTCTTCATTAAAACATCTTATTTGAGCATATATGTCTGTAGCAGTGGACACTAGAAAGTGCCCTTAATACCTCAAATGGAATCATTTGTGGCTTTAGTGCTTTCTGAATCAGAAGTGGTGTCTTATTTTTGACAGTTCTCAGTAGATTTTTATTCCACAAATTTGCCAGATCATACACTTTTTAAGTCCCCATAGGCTTTTGGCATTTGCAGGAAGAGGTCCTTGCTTAATGAGGTTTGGCTATGCATTGTTGAAATGTGGGGTGGTTTTGTGGTGGTGTTTTTTTCTGGGAGAGGGGGCTTTTTTGTGGGTTTTCTTGGGGGGAAAGTTATTGGTTTTGTTTGTTTTGTAAGTTTCCTATCTGTCTTTGTTCATTTTCCTAGAAGCAATGAACAGTTGCTCTCTACTCACCTTTGCTCTTCAGTTCATGATTTTCTGTATTTCCTCAGTCTTGTATTTCCCGAGCTGGAGAGCTTTAGTCTATGCTTTGGGAGATGAGGAGATCAGGAGTTACATACAGTATTCAAGACATAACAGCAGTCAAAATAATGTTTTTTATGTTATTACCCAGCTCTTTCTTTGTAATTCCTGTAATTTATTTGTTTTGTTTGGTAAGGAAGTGAGAAAGTGGGTGAACTGAGCATTGTTCAATGTTGGCCTGTTCAATGTTGAACAGATGTGGAACCTTGTCTTCATAGCATTAACTATGTAGATTCCAGGATCTGTTTTCTGTCTGTTAACATCTACATCTCTTAGATAATTTTAAAGGTGAGGTGGCAGGATTCTTTTTTTTTTCTGTGTTTACATTATGATTATCTACATTAAATTTCACCTGCTTATGCACTCCGGATTGTGAAGTTATATGCAGATTCCCTCAGCCACTTAGCTTCAACAGCATACTTCACCACCATACTGTTTTCAGATCGTTTATCGTGATTCAAATAGCTTTTATTTCAGAGGTATGCCTCTGCAAAAACACCCTGAGGGAGTATATACACAATTCATTAAAAAATAGCTGTTCTCTAGTATTATCTTTGTTGACTAATAGTACTCTTCCTGGCATATTCCAGGCCCATGTCCTGAGTAGTTTACAATCTGATTGTGAATGGTTTCAGTATAAAGAAAAGTTGGTTTGAGTAGTTTGGAATCATAGAATGGTTAGGGTTGGAAGGACTTTAAAGGTCATCCAGTTCTAAGCCCCCTGCCATGGGCAGGGAACCACACACTAGACCAGATTGCCCAAAGCCCCATCAAACCTGGCCTCGAACGCTACCAGGGATGGAGCATTCACAACTTCCTTGGGCAGCCTGTTCCAGTACTTCACCACCCTCACAGTAAAGAACTTCTTCCTTATATCTAACCTAAATCTCCCCTGTTTAAGTTTTAAACCACTGCCCCTTGTCCTATCACTCTGTCGCTAATGAAAAGTCCCTCTCCAACATCCTTGTTCGCCCCCTTCAGGTACTGGAAGACTGCTATGAGGTGTCCATGCAGCCTTCTTTTCTCCAGGCTGAACAGCCCCAACTGTCTCAGCCTGTCTTTAAAAGAGTATTAATTAAATTTCTCCTAGTGACAGAATAATTTTTAGAATAAAACAATACCTTTTCATGTACTATTCTTGAAGCACATACAGAAAAATATAAAGTGTTGCACTTAAATTGGAATGAAAAAATAAATTTCAGGGTGATGTGATTTTTTTGTCATCTTATAATTTCACTAACAAAGAAGATGGGTAGTTTTGTGATTTGGGATGATTCTTAAAGTACCATATGACAGAATACCTGAACCTGTGTAACAGTTGCTATTGATGCCATGGCCTTGAAGTACAAACAAATGTCTTCAGTTGCTATTTGATAAGTTTAGAAATGTTATAGCCCAATTTTTATTCAAAAATACTGAGTTACTGTTGTCATTGTTCTCTGTTCAAAAACAGAATAACTAGAAAGAACAGAGAACACAACCATGACTCTCTTAATTCAAGGCTGCAATCTGGGCATCTTCTTTGTCCAGTTTCTCTCCTTAACCTACACATCCAGAACATGTCTAGATCTTACCACATCCACTTGAATATTTCTAAGTTTTAAGCATTCCCTTCTGTTTGCACTGGACTTTTTTCTTTCTTTTTTCTTTTTTTTTTTTTTAATGCTCTGGCTCTTTTGTGCCCTGTAATCTCGGAATTCATGGGGACCACCCCTGTTCCAAATTGCCATGGTTTTCACCTCAAAGTACCTTTGCTGTCTCCTGTTCTTCAGACACATCAAATGCAAACATTTGTTTATTCCTTCCTAATTTAGTCCTGCAATTCTGATCACTTTTGAACCATGTGAACAACTTTTGCAACTCTTTAATAACTTTGGACACAGTTGTCCATCCCTTCACTTCAGAAAACTGTTTTGAGCTTTCCCTTGTATCAGCACAGTAAGGTTTATCAAATTCTAGGAAGTCCTCTTCAAAGTTTCTCTTCAAGCCTTCCATGTATTCAGAAAAGTAATAATAATTAGATCTAATGATTATCGTATGTAATTGTGCCCTGACTGTAATACTTGCCCTTTTTACATGGTGTCTAACTTGGAAACTTTCACAGGGTAGTATTTCAGAAAGCTATGAAACACATCAGTCCTCTTTAGGTTCTCCTTTTTGTGTATTTTTGTGACAGAATTGTCTCAGATATGGTTGACAGCTTTCTCAAGCACTGAACTTTATCTTGGCCAAAATGCAACTGTCCTATTTGAGATTCATTTTTAATAATGGGCTTAGACGTAATCAACTTCTTTAAACAAAGTATCCTTTGAAACTGAAAACAAAAGAAATTTCAAGTAGCTACATGGTTTAAATAGCTTGGCTTTCTAATCATAATCTGGGATTATTTGTGTAGAAATTCTTGTGCATGACTGAAGAATGGGTAAATTGATGCCTTGTTCTGGGAACAATATTCTACTACCTGATTACTGGTGTAGTATAAAGCATATGGGGAAAAAAAATACAAACCCACCACTCAAGAAAAACACCAAAAAAGAAAACCAAAATAAAAAAACCCAAAGGTGGGATCAGAGAACATATTGTACCTTGGAGTTTTACCTCTGAGTTAACAAGTTACTGCATTTGCTGCTTTCCTTTAATTCATATCCCTAAGAAAGTTGATGCCCAAATACCATGTTTTTAATTATTTTTCCTTTGAATATTAGAGTTTCAGCAATTATTTTGTCAATTAATATAAAAACAGTTAAAGTGCAGGCAGTAACTGTCTGTGTGTACAACTTTGTTATCAGTTTTACATTAGACGCTTGTATAAATAAAGAAGTGACATTACTACAGCTACAATCAGCAAAAGAACCCTCAACAAACAAAGGAAATATTACGCCTCCAGAAAACCCATATAAGTATGGTTCACTTATGGAAATCAAGTCTTAACCAAACTGGAATTAACACTTGAGGAACACCAGCATTACATGCTATCTTTATGAGTTTGCATTGCGGCAAGCACTGCTGCTGCTCTGTTTGGTAAACTGCAGAAGTTAAGTGCTGCAGCTAGCAGCTGGAGCTGCATGGATGCTCTCATATTTATCTGTGGTTAATATATTTAAGGCAGGCTATGATATCAACTGCCAAGATGTGCAAATGTCTTCAGCCCTGAAATCCTAGAGAGATCTGTGGTGGTCCATAGGCAAGCAGGCATAACGGATACAAGTGACTGAAGGGTACCAAGATGCAGTTACTAAAGAAATTTTAAAAATGCAGGTAAAAGAGGCTTTTTGTGCAAGTGTATTCACTATGCATGGTGTCAGTATACTTGCAATAAGGTGCTGTTAATGTATTTGACATGTCTAAGGGTGGGAGGAGAGAGATCCAGCTGTATCCACATTAAGCAAAGCCTCTAATTTCAAAGGTAAGTCATGACATTTTCAATTTCCTCATGTAGCAGCAAAGACCAAGTTACTACAAATTATATCTTTTAGTTTAATTTGTCAAAAATGGGCACATGGCAAAAAAAAAATGGAAAGGAGTAGCGGAAAAAAGTTGTTCCTTGTATGATAAGATGTCTCTAGTGGACATAGTGCTTATCAGGTTAAAAAGTATTAGAAAGATGGAGCTGCTACAAATGCCATTGTTAGATGAGATTTCTTATTTCTGGTGAAGACAAATATGGGTGCCATGATCCAAGCTGTAGATCATCAGCAACAAATTTTGAGGAGCAGTCTGTAAGTAGCAGAAAGATTGCATCAGCCTAGTTAAACACTAACTGTTCAGAATCTAGAAGGATAAAAATCTTTAACTGATCTCTCAAGTTTTTTCTAATGCTCATATATTTGTATTTATGAAGAGAAGCAGTAGTATGCTGACTTCTGGTACTGTACCCAGATGCTTCTACTACTGTATTTTTTTAAAGCTAAGCTATCACTCTCCTCATCTGAACAAACTTGTCTTCTGAAATGGACCAACATGTGCATCTCCAGATACGCATGTAATGATGTACACCTCTTCAGCTGAAATGTATTTTCATCATACCCTAGCTCTCACTTTAATGGTGAAATTGTCAATAGACAATGATTTCTAATGTTTTACAAACAGGATGCATGTGTGCTGTGTGTTTTCAATAGTCAGGCCACGTATAGTCTACATATTCCATGAAATAACACTAATAGTCTAACACTTCATATTAGCTTTGTGGAAAGTTTTAATGGAATTGTGTAACTTTTAAAAACATAATTTTTATGCAATCTATCATTAAAAAAAAATTTGTGAAATTATTCAGAAATTACACATTGAAATAAATGAGGATGTCTTTGGCTCAACTTTTTTCCCCAAGGTACCATGAATTTGTCTGCTAATTTCCCAATAAAAATAAAGATAATGAGCTATCAAGTTCAACAAACAGCTGTCAAAATTCTGGCTTTAAGATATTAGAGAACTGTGTAATTATACATGGCACTGACTTTTTTACATGAGCTTATTTGGAGAATAGTGGTTTATTTGAGTACAGTTTGTCATCCTATGGTATAAGCAAAACTGATTAATAATGAATTAATAATAAAAGAGTAAATAGGTGACTTTCTTCATATGTGGCATTTCTCTACAAAAAGTTTAGTTTATGCTGAATCATGTTTTATTATAAAATCTACACCTTCAGTTAAATAGCATTAAACTTAAGAATACATACTAATATTTCAGTGGCAATTCAGTCCTTAACTTGCTAATTGAAATTTCTGTTTTGAATTGAAATAGAAGCATTTTATGGACTCTGTTCATTATTAGTGCTAAAGATTAGATCTAATAGGGAGCTGGTTTGGTTTTTCAGAGAAGTCTGACTTAACACATAAGCATCAGATGCATAAATATATCCTGAAAAAGATCAGAATCAGTCTGAGTCAGGTCATTTATTGCGAAGGAAGGAAAAAAAAAAGGTGAGCTGAATCATTCAATCAGCTTCTCTCATTTCCACGTCTTTCAGATACCCATTTTATTGACCCTAAATCATTAAGAGAAGTCATTGTTAATTAATATTCATTTAAATTCTGTTGAATTGCTAAAATTACATTATATTGTCAGCAGGCATGAAACAACCCAGTAAAGAAATTGTGCTGAGTTAGACCTCTTCAAGATCTGGCCTGTGGTGTTTCATCACATGCTGGAGTATCATCTCAACTATTCTGTTTGCCTGTATTATTTCATTCCATTATGTGTATGAAACCCCTATGGGTTTAATGCATCCCAAAGTTCTTCAAACTTAATGCATTCTTATGGTAAGCATTGTAAAAGCCTGGACCTAGAAGAAAATGATATTACATATTCATTATTTGTCTTGTTCATAATCAAACTGAAACCTTTGACTTGAAGTATCAGGCTGCAGATGTCTGAATAATAGTGCCATGATAGCAAATATGTGGTAATATGTACAATATCTTACCTCTTGAATTAAAAAATAATATTACCTGGAATATTAAGAATTCAAAGATTATCATAAAGTATTATATACCATTATGTTCACCTCTGAAATGTTTGGAAATTAATTTCATTTTAGCATGCAAGATCGTGATGGTGTAATGAGAAAGTCTATGAAGGCAAATCTCCAGAACAAAACAGGTAAAGATAACAGAGAAGCCTAAGTGAATCCTGTAATTGTGACTTAGTAACTATTTCTTCTGGAAATTCAACATGACTTTAAAAGAATAGCATCATTATGAAATTAAACTAATTAGCTCATTAATGTGGAAGTATTTTGTCATTCTAACTACAGAAGGAATTCATCTGAGTAAAAAAGCAGACAGGAATAAAATGCGGTATGAGACAGAAATTGTCTGGTTTTAACATGATAAATGTATGTGGTTTATGTCTGTCCTCTCAAACCTAAGCACTTTACCAGCACTTCTTAGATTAATTTTATTGTTCTGAATTGTTAAGACCAAATTTTTCATCACACATAACCTGAGCCTTTGTTGTCTAGGAATTCATGACATGCAGTGAAAATGTTCCAATTTCATCCAACTTGTTTAAGTAACCTTTCCTATTTAAGTCTACTCATTCAGCTAAAAGTTGCTTTTCTTCCTCATATAATGCAATAGGAGTGTTTAGCATTCATAATAAATACTGTGTGCAATTGCAGTAATTTATCAGCCTGCTCTTGGTATCTCAGCTGAAGCTCCCACTGCCTTTCAGCATCCAGAGTTTATTGAAAGCAGTACCCATTGTGTGTTTTGGGCTTAAGGCAACTCAGAGGCTGAACTTACAGCATCCAAAACTGCACACCAACTAAAGATGTGAAATGATTTTGTAACTGATAGGTTTGCTGCTTTTGTCTCCTCTGTGTGGTATAATGATACATAGTAATTATTTACAAACATTGAAGGATTGTATTTAGTTGTCAAAGGCAAACAAATATAGGTAAAACAGCAGTTTTACCAGATCAAGTAACAGATAAGTGCTTTGATCTTTTAACTCAGCTATTCTTGTGCTCAAAACTAGTGGGGATTTCACTGAGGCATGATGTTACAGTAAGAGGAGGAAGAACAGTTGGATGTGAAAATGTATTTAAATATTTCCAAGATGTTATTTTTTGTTACTTGATGTTCTTTATGAGTAAGAATATATAGGATATTTTAGAAAATACTGTTACTACATGGGGTTTACCCAAGCAGCAAAGACTAGTCCATCTCTCCCGTGTTGTTAGCATATATGTGTTAACATGTACGAATTGACTACATAAGCAAAAAATGAGGGTATGCTGTGGCAATTTTACAAATTCCAAATCTAGATAACACAAGTATATTAACTTCAGTTGATTAGTTTTTATGTGCTTACTTGTAGCTAATATGTGTCCAGCATACTGGGGTACAAAGTAATGGTGTAGATACAATCGGCCATGTGGACCTGTTGGATCTTTCTTGCAATGAAAGAGTAATAGTTGGCCTGCAAGAACGAAAGCAACACATTTAGAAGGGTTCTTTCATTGCTTTGGAGTTTTTGTGTTTGAATTAACAACAGCCTGAGAGGAAAGGACCTTGAAAGAGAGCAAACTGGACATAGCAGTAGGTTTTACCAGAGCTGATTCATGAAATGCAGTTTATGCTATGATATATTTGCACTTATGCTCAATTAGTGACAATTAGTTAGGAATGACTAATTAATCTAACAAACACTGTATTAGTGAAGAACTACATTTAAATTTACGTTGTTAACTGATTTCTTATTTATCATGTACTTGCAGGATCATTTATACCATTCTGTAATGATTCCTGTTGTTATTCTTTAAATTATGTAGGAGTTTATGGAATAATGGGAAAAAAATCTTGAGATTTTTTTGAGACCTGAAAATCTATATAGTTCAACCTTGATGGAATTATAATTATAGAAAAAAATGTTATATAAATTGCGAATTCCATGAAATACATGTATCTTATTTTATTACAACTATTAGCATAACATTGACCATGAAGTAAGTTAGAGGGTTTTATTTATTTAGTGTTTGAATATTTTTCTTTTCAAGAAGACTAGATATTGCATAATAAATTTCACTGATACAGTGTTCACAAGTGCTGATCTACAACAAACTGCAGTACTATGTTTACTTGATGACTTATATTGCTATATTTGAAATGTCATCTTTACTAGAATTAGAATGTTCATTAAATGTGAATATTTTGCCAGTATATTGCTAGAGAAAAAAGCATAGTGCACAAACAGTACAATTAGTAAATAAAGTGAATATGTACCTGTATTACTGCTTATTATTGTTTACTCACTTGTGAATTTGTAAAATTTGCTACTTTGTAATCAGATTCTCTCTGACTGCTGCTAATTACAGAGACTAAAATGCATAATAGTTGCTACTTAGTACTAATGTGGGCTTCATAATGGTTTTAAAGTTTGTGATTCCTGGCTACTTTGAGTTTTAGTACCTAATTATTGTAAGGCTTATTGCAATGTTGTAGTTTTATAAATATATAAGTCTTCTAGATGCATACAACCTTTGGGATCTAAAACACTACATACCAGTTTCATTATCAGCAATGTAAAAATTACAAAAAAAAGCTATGTATCAGGGGGTTAGCCAAATACAAATAAAACTGAGTGACGTACTTTAACTGAAGTTGTTTGTATCATATAATTAAATTGCTAATTCTAGGGCACTTTTGTAGAAGTGAATATCAGATGTCTAGTATTATTAAAAGTTGGGTTTAAATAAGATTTTATGTTCTTCAGTTTTGGCCTTGATTACTTACTGAGAAGTTACATAAATTAGTTAAAATATTATGTACTTGGCATGTTTGATTTCTTTAGCAATGAAATTGAGGAATCTATTCTTTACAAGTAAATCTAGTTCTGCTTTTATTTATTAACATGTCCCCTTCCCAGGATTGATGCATTCTTCATTCAAGTTCTGAAAGGGGCTGAGGGAAGAAGGAAAACAACATTTTTTTAAGAAAATGTTTAGTTAAACTTTCAATGCTTTCTGATACACTAGGGGAAAAGAAAAAGATAACCATCTTCCGGACTAATTTTATATACTTCCAAGTGTAGGAAGTGTACATAGGGTGGTTGTGGTGTTAGTTGAAATGCTGGCAGGTATTCTGTTTAATTAGCTCCCTAGCCAGGTCTCTTACATAAATAGGTCTGTACCAAACCTAATAGTGCCATTAACATATTTCTGAATGGAGAAATGTCGAATTTCTGTAAAACATATTAATCTGGCATGTAAATTAATATGACTAAGGAATTTTCAGGTTTTGAGTGGAGAGGCCCAATTTCATACACTGCCCAGCAAAATAAAAGAGCCGTAGACAGGGTAGTCAGGAATGCTGCTTTAGTATGTAGGTTTTTTTATTATGAGGCTTTAGGCAATAATGATCTATAACCAGGATCATGCTTCTGAGAGGCCTAGCTAAAAGCCTTTGCTTTTATAGCTGATACAGGAATATATTGACTTGGGACATAAATGAAATTACTGTATTATTTTACTATACGTAAGGTAACAAGATTCCAGTTGCTAGAGCAGTATGAACAAATGCATTTCTGTTTCTGTTAATCTGAAATATATATAAACTATATTTATAACTGGACATGACATTTTAGAAGATGTTTGTGAAGTCAGTCCGTGCCTTCCCAGTTAACTTTGAAGGTTAGTCTTAAATGACAAAATGACTTGCGAAAATTTAACTTACATGAACCTTAACCAATAGAATCAGGTACTTTCCATGTATTTTAAATTATTTAGTCACTGATCATTGTTCACAAATGCAAATGTAAATTTTTTAGGGTGCAAACGGTATGTTCCAAGAGTTGAAAGCCATTTCTTCTGATAATAAATGTGATCTCTTTTTCATCCTTCCTCACCTTTTTTTCCCCCCTTTTCCCACCTCCTTCCATTTTTCCATATGGACAGGCTATGGGACTTTCTAAGGATTAGCTTCCCTAAAAAGCTTCCTTGATGATTAATAGTAAGCTAAGCATGCTTTGTTTAAATTAGGAAAGGATTCAGTATTCTCTTTATCAGCCGATCTATGTTTATGTTCACCTTGAGAGTATATCTTTACTAGTACTATAGGTCAGATAATTTTACTAATGACAGCAGTAGGAGCATGCATGACTATCAACCCCTTGCATAATTTCCATGTGAGAATAAGCAGAGTCTTCTACTCAATTGCTCTTAAGTGTTTACCGAATCAAAATGATTCCTCATTTCATACATGTATGTGGAAAGCTGACTCTCAACTTTGAAACTTTTAATTTTTTTTATAGCTAAGAGTTTTAACTACTACTAGTATTTTTATCCTACTTTGTTTAGGCTCTGCTTTGGGGTTTTGTGAGGTGCACTGATCTTCGCAATTGTGCCTTAATGTCAGATAACCACTACCATTGCTTTGATAGCCCATATTCCTGGACAAATTTGTCTTTTTGCCCACTGAGATCATTAGCACTAGCTTTGGGGGTATTTGTTAATTAGGTTTGTGGGTTCCTCAAGAGCAAGTAGCATCAAAATCCCATCAACACAGCTAGAGAATTGCTTTTGAGCACCCTGTTTCAGTCAGGATGGGACAGAGCTGTACTCCAGACAATACCTGGGACCCTCTGATTCCTGAGTAAGACCTTAGCAGTGAGTCAGCTCCATGACCATGGTGGCAGTTAGAGAAGCTGGTCATCACGCTACCTGTTTTTCAGAGCCCTAACACAGTCTATTGCTATATTACCATGTTCTTAAGGGACAGATTTTCCTGTGGTCTATATCTTTACCTCCCCTCAGTGTTTCCTAAGTACTTTCCAAGGTTATTTTGCTAAGAACTTCTGAGTTACTTGTGCTCCCTAAAAGACTGGACTCTTCAGCCTCACTCCAGTTCCACATTTGGAATTATCTTGAGTGCTTCTCAAACTATATCCACAAGATCTTTGACCATCTGGTGACCCTTATCATATTACTGCCCAAAGATTTTTGCTAGAAGTTTGACACTCAAATTACTGGTCATATGTCATCTACACCAATCCTGCAAGCCTCACTTGATGCAGCAGGGACAACAGCCTGTGCTTTCACCTCCTCCTTATTGCTTAAGCAGTTTTCTTGGCTTCTGTGCTCCTAGGAAGAATAAAGCAATTAGAAAGAGATTCTTTAGCATGATTCCAAGGGAGCACTATGGACCACAAAGTGGTGTGAGCTGGAACATCGTGCCAGAAGCATGCAGAAGCGATAGGAGATAGCTTACTCTTCTAGTGGCTGTTTAGTATAGTTTTGCCCTTTTTTTGAAGTACAGACTTCTTGTGGCTGAGTCTGAGTAACATTAGAGTGTTCTAATTACCCATTCTCCCAGGTCTTTATAACAGATGCTTGCTTTCTTGGCTAGAAGTTGTTCTTGGGTGACTTGAGATCAGAAGGAGGTATGCTGTCTTCCCCAGGAGTATAGTATAGCATGTATCAGACATTTCTGCTAGCAATCTGCCTGGGTTCTTGAATGAGCTGGAAATCAGATTAGGTCATTTCAAGCATCTGTATCACAAGCAGAAAATCCATGACAATGTTCTGGAGACTTTTTTACAAGAATATGGTTAACCAAGACCTTTTCTTCTCATAGATATGAACAGGAAATGCCATCCTTTTCACTCCAGAGTGTCTTCCAGACCCTTCTGTAATCATGTTCAAGGGGACAGAGGCATTCATGTCAACTATATGCATGTTTCCTAATCTTCAGAGTTGCTTAGAAAGATAAAATAGGATAATCAGGATCATTCTGGTAGCTATGGATGAATGTAAGGGAGATCTGACATAATTTAAACTTTTCTGTTGAACTTTGTTCAACTTCATTGTTGAAGTTTTGGGGTTTTTTTTTGGTTTTCTTTTAATCCCCAGAGAATTTTGTTTCCCTTCAGAGAAATACCCTAATTAATAGAAGAACAAATAAAAGGCAGATATATTTGGCCAAGTAGACTTAATTTGCCATGTGATACACAGAAAAGCCGATTTTCCTTTTCTTAGCCTCTTGGAATTCTGCTGTATTTCCTGGATAGCACTGGGTTCCTCTATAAGCTCGATCTATTTGACAGCTGTTTCAGCACTGTGCTTCCAGGCTGGAGGCTTCTTTGGTTTTGTTGACACTATACTAATTGTATCCTGAAGAGTTTGTTTGTTAGTTTTTTTTCTCCTTTATGTAATAGTTTTCAAGTAGGATCTGAGTATCTTAGTTGTTTCCTTTGAGTCTGAACACTTTTTGAGTGGTCAAAAATGGTACTTGAGCTTTGAAGTGCCTGTGAATGTTCATCACAAGTCCTCATAATTTATGTTACTCTTGGAAATGGTTATGTATTAAGAAAGAAAAAGAACAGAAGAACACCATATGCAAAGGTAGATATATATTAAAACTATTATCAGCTATTTAAAGAAAAGACCTTAAAATGGTATTTTCTTTAATGGATAATGGTCTTTTCTTAAAATGGACAATGCATACATGCAGCAGTAAAATTTGGAAATTGAGTTTTCTGAGGTGAGAAGCATTCTCATTCTGTGAAATTCACATTCACTTCCCTTTGTAAAAGTGATTGTATAATAGCTAGAAGCCAGAGAAAATTGGTCAGTTTGAGAAACCATTTCTAAGCTATGAAGTACTGCTATCATTTTACTTGTATGCTACAGTTGCATAACGCTGTATTATTAAAACCATGTGTAAAAATACAAACATGTTATTCTGTCAATTCCTGTTACATTTTTTAATTTCTTTCCTTCTTTGTGGCTAAGCAGTTTTGAGCCAAAATTCAGAAGACCATTCACAAATATGTTGCTGCAGGCTGAGAACTGCTATCTAGATTAATCCTTTAAAGTCACAAGGCAAATGCTATGATACGAAATTTAGAGATATACCCATACCCACCAGCTTTCAACAAAGGGAGAAATAAACTATATATAATTTCTTAGTTTGATTTAAATTTGACAGCACTGACTCCACATTCAGGATCTAAGTAAGAGCATGGCTATACTGAAGTTGAAAAAGAAATTGTAACTCAGAAGCTGGATTTTAAAACTGTGGTAGAATATATACTGAAGAAATGTTTAATTAGTCTGCTTTGCACTAGAAATAGATATTGATATCACTTCAGTAGAGAGCTACATTAAGAAAGGGCAAACTGTATATTTGGGTGAAGTTTGGTAATTATAGATAAGGAAGCAGTGTCAGAGCATATTTCAAATTAAATTGTATAAATGGGGTTTGGAGAAGATCCAGAACAAATTAACTTAAAGTTTTGCTTTACTGGTAAGAAGACTATATTTGTCTGAAACTAATGTAAATAATGTGTGCTGACTGTTGTGTAAAGTTAATAGTGAGAATACAGAATTTGATAAAAGGAGTATTCTCTTTGTCAGGAGCTTATTTTGTAGCTTTTACCTATGTGATTTTGCACAATATTAAAAAGAAATACAAATCCATTCATATTTGCTACTCACTGTGAAACAAGGAGGTACCCAGGGCTTTCTGGTAATTGTATTGCCTCAATGCACTTCCAGTTGCATAACAAAAAATTGATAGCCTCTATCACTGGTCACCTTTAAAAATCTGAAGGTACAGATTTGATTTATCACATGGAAAATACATCCCTGATTTTATTAATTATTACAGCACAGTTGAAAGGGTCTGTATTCTTCAATAGTCTTCTGATTTCACACATGCTCTATTTTTTTTTTTTTTTTTTTTATTTATGATTTCCAAGTATAAAATCTTCCATTTGGTAATACCTTTTGTCTGAAGAATTATTATTCCTGTTCATTTAATGTGATAAACACAGCTTAAAGATACTTTGGTGCTACAGAATACTTAGGTGCTCTATTGTGAATGAGACATCTGTAGTCACAAATTTATTTGATATATACTTCTTAAAGCCAAAAAACATGTGCAGATGTGTTGACTGCATAGTGATAATGCTAATAACTACTGCAGAGATTTTTAGATACTCACTAGTTAGTTTCAAGTCAGGTTTATATACTGTCGGTCTGGAATTAATTTAGAGCCCTTCAGGCCCATCACTGAATTCTTCCATGAACCAGACTTAGAAGCCAAGGGTTGTGCCAAATACTCTGGATTTAGAATTATCCTTACATCACTGGAATTTATTAATAATTTAAGCATGTATGATGCACTGTCTGAGCTCAGTGATCTGTCAGAACGATTGCAGACAATGGGCATTACACTCACAGGCTTAGATTTCTGCTTGCATTGTTGTTAGTTTAGGAATAAGCACAATAAAGATGGCAGTGCCAAATGAAGTTTGTACTATAAAAACAGGGATATGCATGACAGCAAAACTGTTAAAATTAATGTAGAAAAATTAGGAGCTTGGCAAACAGTATAAGAAACCCTGGCTAGTGACAGCAAGACTTCTGAAGACTGAAGTTTATTCAAACATTTATATTTTTCCTCCCTATTAATCCTGTACTATAGTTTTCCCTGCTCAAAAACTGAATCCATGCTAAGAATGGGCTGAGTCACTTTTTAAAAAGTGCGATCCACAAATAGCAGAACTGTTGCCTGAATAGTAACTGACTATTACAATAAGTTTTAACACTCCCATAGAACTTGAAAATGCCTGTAAAAAGATGTGTTGGAGAAATCCCTAATATCTTGACAGGAATAGCAAGTTGTTCCTAGTCTTTCTCTCTTTCTCTCAGTACTTAGTTTAGTAGCCTCTGGCAAATACTGTATGTGAATGTATTTCCATTTTTCAAGCAGAAACTTCTGGCAACACTAATGTGGCAGAAACATTGTGAACATTTTATTGTATGATCTACATGTAAGTACTCATTGTAAAATATTTACGCAATATAAATGCATAACTAAGAAGGTAATACTT